TCTTCTCTTTGATAAAGACTCTTAGATTGGAGTAACCAATTTTTCTAGATCCCAATTAATTAGTATTTTAAAGTTTTACAGAAAAACCTTCACCCCAAATAATCCTTTGATTTGGACATTAAACATTTTAACTCAGTTTTGACTGAGTTAAAATGTTTAATGGTCGCTGAAAAATAGTTTACAGCTATTTGCAACTGAGCTAGAATATTTTAACTGTTACATGATAAGTCATTTTCTGCACACCAACCAATAAAAGTTCCAACCTAACGAAGGAAGTCCTTATCTCATTAACCGCCAAAGCTGGAGTCTGTTATCAGCTGAGCGGCCTTATCAATGACGTCATGTGTGATTGATGACGTCCAAATGAGCTTGTTAACCCCCTTCCCCTACCCATGAATCCAAAGCCCAAACCCTCGGGAATGTTTCTATCTACTTATACCAGTCTTCTTTCGTCAGGAGCAGGACTAAATGTGGATTACGACAAACAATTATTAGGAAATGTACACTTATGTTTATATTCACCTTTATTTAAGTCACCGTGTGGATTAGAAGCCTTTTTGAATTGAAGCTTAAAGACTAAATGATACAGAAACAGATATTACGATAATATCCTCGTTCCAAACCTTCGTCGTCGTTCTAACTATGGACCACGATAAACTAATAAAAGAAGTCTACACTAACAGCTTATACTTAGCTGCAATGAGTTCATTAAATAGCGTTTAAGGATTGTTCAAAGATACAGTAGAGGGTATAGAAATAACTACCTACTATTCAAAAACCATTACTGTATTTGTGATGTAGCGTATATCCAATGCCCTAAACAAGTCTGAACAGCCGAGTAGTTATTGAGCCACTTTCAAACATGTAGCTCTTAAATAGGACTGTTCACACCGGCGTAGCCAGACGTATTAATACTTTTTCGAAATACGTAGCTGACGTAGCTCTTAATGTAATTCATAGAGGGTGTTCACACCGGCGTATTAATACGTGAGCTACGGAAGCTACGGCGCTGCCGCTACGCCGGCTAGCTACGCGTAGCTCGCATCGCCGAATACGCGCATGCGCACTAGCACACCGGGCTGTCACCGCCACCCTCCCTACACCTCAAAATTAATTTATTAGTGGTAAATGTTGGACTATAACATAAAAGTTCACTTAAAAATTATTAAATCGCATCAATCTATCACATGGTTTATATAGAGTGGGCTGACATTTATGAAACATTAATGAATTATTTCTAGACATAGGTCTTACTTACACCATAGACAATTTTATAATGTAATCCTTATGGATGAGCAAAATTATTGCATGTTTTCTGGTAATATTGTTTAATATTATAATATAGAGCATATCTTAGAGCCAACTATATACGGCCTAAAATTAGAGTGAAATATTGTTGTCAATTCAGGGTACTATAAAAGCTGCAATTTAACCGTGGCAATCTTAACTGAAATTCATGAAACACGAATAAAAATAAACAACAAATTAATAAATATAAACAAATATAAAATAATATAATGAAATAAACAAACAACAGCCGGCTCGCCGGCTACGTAGCCGTCAGACGTAGCTGCGGTGTGAACAGTGCACTGGCGACGTATTAATACACCGAATACGTCTGCAGACGTCTTGCTACGCCGGTGTGAACAGGCCTTGGAACAATTTGGGACTCTTTGAGGGCTTGGCGCAATTTAGTAACTCTTTGGCGCAATTAATCCACAACCGGTGTTTACTCCTCTACAAAATACGTAGACAATCGCAATGGAGTGGATAAACACAAACAGGTATGTTGTAGGAGAATAGTTGCAATGAGGTGAGGTCATTTTCGTTGACGACCTAATAGCACACACTGTTCCTGAGGTCAAGATTTATACCGATGTATAACAAAATTATTGTAACCCAAGAGGGAAGGAGGCCAGACATCCTGGGCCAGTTACGTAACCAGCCAGAAGCCAAGTACAAGGATCGGATCGGATACCTGACGGAGTGTCCGATTTCATTATCCAGGTAGATCACAAACTATAGATCATGGTGTTAGTAAACTCTGTACTTTTTCCAAGTGTATATATTTTCCTTGTCAAAAAGCTATATAAAAGGCATACGTAGACATAAATAGAAAATACCTTTTAAACGGCTTTTAAACAAAGATATGCCTCTTCAACCACTTATCACAAGTGAATTTCGGAAATGAACTCCAAACGTGTATTTAAGAACTGAAAGATTATTCACAAAATAGAAAACCATATGGGTTGGTTATAAATTTGATAAGGGCAAGAACTTTTTGTGCAGTAAGATCAAACAGCATGTTCCTGAAAGGAAAGAGGGAAATGGCGGTCAGCAAGAAAATTTGAGGAAGGAGCTGGGATTCCAAAACGTTGCTAAGTTTCTAAATTATTTGTAAATTCCTTACTTAACTCTACCTTTTTCTTAAAAATGTTCTAGATATCTCTCTAAACTTGGTGACGTTTTGGGATTAACCGATAAAACACCATTCCCGGATATTTTAGGTGAGAACGACATAATTTTTTTATGGCAAAAATTCCTAAAGGATACGTATTGAATGGCTTATGATAGCTTTGTAACTCACAAAATGTTACCTGGTTCTTAAGCCAGGACCATTTATAAAAAGTCCAATAAATAAGAACAGCTGGGTCCACTTTGGAAACATCAAAAAGAAACATCACCATTCCTACCGACAGTGAGTGGTATTCTGTGGGTTTGCTGTAAGACACCTCTTTACTAAGCACAGAGTTGTAATCTTTGAGATCGTTCAAATTCTTTGTTTTCGTAGGCTAGATGGAATTGTTAAATAACCAATAGAATTTCAGGATCCATACTTCGGTAATTGAACTCGTTGACCTAAACATGTGGAGAATTTTAAGTAGGCATGTCTCGTGTACCTACTTGGTATCTAAGACAAGTAAACTGTTAACTGATTTTACCTCAAAAGCCAGTAGCTGCAATACTTCAAAATCTGTTTCTCATTGGAAACCTGTTTCGAATCATTCCACTCCAGTTACAGCGAGACTTGGAGGATGTTCCACTAATTTCAAGCTTCTGTGTTCCAAAGAGTTGATGTTAAGTAGGTGCGAATTGTACATCGTTACCAAAACAGGTCGCATTTTAACTATGTCAGAAACAACGTATCAATGGTACAAGTTATTTTCTGGTTTTCGGTAAAATTTCGTTCTTTTAAACATAGGTTCAGGGGGGGAGCGAGCTGGTGTAGTGGTTAGAACGCAGTACTGAAGTACTGCAAAAGTAAAGTGACTGAAGTCCTGAGGTCCCGGTTTCAAATTCCGCCAAGTCACCAATGGATTTTATCTAAGTGATAATGCCGCAACCCCTAGGTCTAGCCTGAAGTAATGTGAAAAACAATCCCGGGCTCGTGCCTAGTGTCCTAAAAAAAAAAAAACAAAAATAAAAAACATAGGTTCAGGGAAAAACAATATTCAACCGACAAATCTATAAATTTTTACGAAAAACTCTACCATATAGCATTGTAAAGTGTAATATCACTAACAGTGGTGGTGAGTTAACAGTTGAGTTGGTAAGTAATTCTCTAATTACTAACTCAGCGAGTCAGGCACGCTAGCTAGGCGTGGCCCGGGGTAATATTAACACCAACACAAACACAAGAGTGATTTGCTTGATTGTAGGACGGAGGTAGAGTGTTTAATACAGTGTTCACTTACAGGTTCTTAACTGATCATTAATTCAACCCTCGACTGACGCCATGTGTTTTTTAGTGCCACCTTCACATCCTAGGACGCTAAGATCTAGCCCGGGGTCGTGCATTAACTGCGCCAAAGAGTTCCTTAATTGCGCCAATTCCTCTAAGGGTCCCAAAAAATGTTCCTTAGTTGCGCCAGAAGGTTGCAGGCAGAAGGAATGTCCTTGTTTACGTGTCATCCTAACCTATTCTAACCTAACCTAACCCAACCTAACCTACTCAATTATACAGTAAAAGAGGGTCGCCACTTGGTGTAATTATTGAACTGTATGGTAGCTCGGGTAGCTGGAGTAGTTCGCTCAATTCAGGAATACCCGACTACCTGACTCAGGTCAGTTGGCGCAATTCATGCCCGCCCTAGCGGCCGACTTCAGGCAGGTCTTAGAGGGTTGCGGCATCATCGCATAGATAAAATCCATTTGTGATTGGCGGGACTTGAACCCGAGAACTCGGGCTCTGAAACCCCGCGCTCTTCCACCAAACTAACTCGCTTCCCCTGAGGGTTTTGAAATTCTTAGGGTGAACTAAGGAGGGAATTGTGGTGCAATAATGGTTGTACCTATTTTTCTATCCTACATAATGTTTGTAACTAGGTTTTTTAAATTTTCTGAGTGTTGCTGAGTGTACACACTTATAACATGTATGTAACTGTGATATGTAAACGAATAGAGTAATAAATTTGGTTATTGTTGAAAATATAAATAAATCAAGTTACATAATCATCCCGTGATGCCATTCAATCGATGGATTCATGTTACTAACGAACACTCTGAAATTGGCCTCGTAACATTTATTGGTACCCGTCGAGTCGCCAATTCATATTTAACTTGCCAATGATTGGGTTGGTTCAATTTTTATCGGACTGATTGCGGGCATAGTCAATAGTATTGATTGACCTAAAGCTTTGAAGGGAACGAGGTTTAATTGCAGATAAGTAGTATACGTATTATTTAATTTACTTCTTTTTTGTTTAATTAAATTTGAATAACAGTTATTGGAATTCATTAAGAAATTTTAAGACGCGAATATATAATGTTCTAATTATGCTCAACCTTTCAAGAAATTATTTATATTATATACTATTCTGAAGTCACTATACATTTTTACTCGACGACTTTTTATAGAGCTAATAGCGTTTGCTAAAATGATTCGATCGAAGATAATGAATTACAATATGCCAGATAAAAGTAATTTCAATTGCCACTGGGTATGGACGAAAGAAGCCATTCAATCCTGTAAGAATAAACCAACCACGTCTTAACAAATTGGTAGTGACAATCAACATCGATGTCTACAATCACAGATGAACAATCGTACAATTATATTTAGTGGTAGGAAACATTAAATAAATAATGGAATAGTGAGAACCATAAAGTGACGTCACTATTGAGTCAGCTGATAGGACAGTCCGTCGTTTTGACAAATTGCTAGATACAGACCACACCTATAACCAACTATTGCGACCACAGAATTGTTTTCAAAACACTTGTAATAAACAATGACGTAAATGACGTCACTGCTCCAGCTGATTGGACAGCCAGTCCAGACCCTCGTAGAGTCCTCGGCCCTGCGTGGCGCAAGTCTCTTGTATCTTCCATCTGTTCTTCAGCTTGTCCAAACCCAACAGCTGGCTCAACTCAGCAGCACTCAGCGCGTCGGGAAGGTCCTGTTTGTTGGCCAGGATCAGCAACACGATGTCCCTGAGAGCATCCTCCTGAAGTAAGCTGGTCAACTCTTTCTCGCACTCCGACACTCTATCACGGTCGCTGGAGTCCACCACGAAGATGAGTCCCTGGGTGTTCTCGAAGTAGTGCCTCCACAACACCCTGATCTTGTCTTGTCCTCCGACGTCCCACACTGTGAAGCTGATGTTCTTGTAGTCCACCGTCTCCACGTTGAACCCAAGGGTAGGGATGGTTGTGACGACATCGCCCAGTTTCAGTCTGTACAAGATCGTGGTTTTCCCAGCCGCGTCCAGACCGACCATCAGGATCCTCACAGACTGCTTTGCGAAAAGACGAGTTAGTAAGGTGGATATTGTGAGTCCCATGGCAAAATTTGTGGATTTTCAGAATGTTATGATTGTTTGTTTGTTGTTTCCAGAGATGAAAATACAGCTGGTGAAATTGAATTCGCTGTAGCACCGTACCAAATACATAGAGATTAATTTTTTCGTCACCATTTTATCTGCTCATTAATCCACGATAAATTCTCCAATATACAAATGAAAATCATCTTCGAAATTCTTAAGAATCACTTAAGAACATTATAATAGAAAATTTTCATTTCTTTGTAAGGTAGGGCCTATTGTTGCCTATTCAGTGGATAATAGTTCTTTAATGTTCATTAATCTTGTAGGAAAATTAATTCCACGACGAAATTAATTTACGATTAAGTTCATATAAGTTAAGGCCTAAAATGGCATTAATTACATGTCTTTGAATCCCAGCTCTACTCTTCAACGTTCTGACTCACAGTAGTTAATCCTACTAATTATCCTACTTATTATCACATATTTAAGACTTTATTCTTAAAAATATTTAAATATTTTTACTACCGACCACATCCCAACACGTAACTAATTACGAGTCCAATGATCGCTCTATGGTTTTAGCAAAGAATAAACATTATTCCAGGAAAAAAGTTCAACACAATTTAAACTGTTTTAACGTTCTTATTGTTGAAAAAATAGAATTTATTGCCAACAGAGCACCTTTTCACACAACGGTTACAATGATGGTTTAGACTGGTAAGCAACAACTGAATGTGTCATGTTATAAAGTGAGTGACCCGTAGCTGAAGCCTTGACCATGACCGTAGCTTACCTTCACACCTACTTGCTGACTCAGATAATCTCTTACACTCGCACTTATAAATAAAATCCCGAAATAAATCAACTTAAAATTAAACCCCTTTGTCTGATGGGATTACATGATTGAACATGTAAATAGGTTTTTTTACAATGATATTTAATGGTGTATGGGTCGAGATTTGATATCATAGATACCAAGAGGAAAGTCAGGAATAATAACCAGCATAACATAGATGCAGTTCGAAAATGAATTTGACGAATATTTACTCATGCTAGACGTCGTCCAGTGGTCGAAAACTCGAACAAAAATGTGTAATGGAAAGACTTTTCTATTTGCACCCCACACTGTAAATAGAACATTTGTTTGGGATTTCTTCCATTTGCTTGGATTTTCTGTTTATATTTCGTTGCTATTTCGTCACCAGCATGGCAATCCTTTATGGGCACCCATACCTTTACGAACCCACTTTATGGCACACATGATAATTTTTTCAAAATTTTTAATTATTTTTTTGTTTATTTTTTAGACTATCTATTATCTGTTATCTATTATCTATTTTAATTTTATTAAAGTGATACAATCAAATTTTATGTAAACGGTTAAGGTCATTTACCAAATAAAAGTATAGGCATATGACACATCAAAATGAAGCTTAGAGTGTGTAGATTTGCCGAAAAGTATTGATATGGACGAATTTCCTAAGGGCTCTGCTCCACAGGCTGATTTCCAAAGGGCTACGCCTGGCATGCCATCAATGTGTAATAGCTATTTACATTACAAGTGTAGTAAGAGCGTTTTTACATCACGCAAGTGAATGTTGTGCAACGAGCGTAAGCGAGTTGCATTATTCACCTAAGTGATGTAAACACGCTCTTGCGTAACGTGTAACGTACAAGATTTTACCTGACCCGACAATATACACGGGGTTACGTACAATATTTTTCATTATCCATTTCACTCATCTTCTAAGAGTAACGTTCTTTTACAAACACAAGCTAGGTTAGGAATAGTTATTTGTGTAACTAGTGGTGAAAGTGGCACTTTGCTGCACACGAGAGCAATGTTTACGCACGAGCCGCAGGCGAGTGTGGAATGATCTCGAGTGCAGCAAAGGCCTTTTTCACTCGTGTTACACATTATATTTTTCCTACAGTCACTATAAAGCATATAAATAATTAGTCTTTCAAACACTATGCAACACGTTTTAGGTTCAGCTGGCAACACAAATGGTGCCCTAGAGAAAGTAGTACCCGCGGTCCGTATCACTCCGCTATTTTTCCTCGGCAAAAAATGTGCTCCGCGTTTTGAGAATATAGTTCCGTATGTTTTTGTAATTTGAAGTGGTTTCCGTGCCTAAAAAAATGCTTTAAAGGTATTTTCTTGTTTATTAAGATCGTAGGAATGTTATAAAAACGTTTAAAAGAAAATTCCAGAAAGTTCAGAAATACCGAAACTATAAACACGAAATGACAGGTTAAATCGTAGTTATAGTAGTCAATCAGCTGCTCATAGTATTATTATCTTTAAGTGTTGCCAACCTATTTCCAAGCGTACACGGATTACGTGCATAATAGAACCTCGCTGTTTTGTGTTGTTTCGTTGGAATCCTGATGTGCGGCAAAGTATAAACCGTACGGCAAAGTATAAACCGTACGGCAAAGTATAAATATGCAGCAATTAGCAGCTTTCTGTACTATAAACAGTACAAGGAAGCCAACTTTGTCGGGTGACTGTAGGAAAAATACTTTAAAGCATAACAATAACATTCAAGCGCACAGCTGATTTCTAGCGTTGAACGTCGTTGGCTCCAAAGAGGTATAATTTTTAAGTTAAGCACTCAATGTTATTTAAATGGGTTTAATTACCTCACCGAGTGAGTTTTTTTTTCAAATTTACATCACTCGAGAAGTAAGGAAGTTGTATACATCACGCTTGTGATAAGGAAGTTTAACATGGCGGGTTAGGTAAATAATTTAATTTAGTTAATGAAACAGCTGGTCAGTAAAATGAACTGGTGTTTGTTTATTTACTCGAAAAAGATGTTTGTGACACTTTATGTAGATTGAGGAGGGTTATGTTTGGTTTTAAAGTGAGGTTGTATACGTTTTTTAAAGTATTGCTCAAAGTTTCATTTTTTTAATTTATATAGTAAGCTACATGTGAAGAGGCTTGGCTAAAATTGAAGAATTATAATAACACATGTCATTCATGAAGCATCAATATGAAGCAACTGATGCTATTGCTACACTAAGGTATGTTGTCCTATTCTTATGGATCTATTAACATCAAAAGTAGGGGTTTGAAAGTAAGTAAGTTAACGCTTTTAAATCAGTTTATATTTTCAAACTAAATCAAAGAATTGCTGTACAGTTTGCTGTTTTAAAACACACATCAGCACCACTTTATGCTCTCTAGCTCTCTTGGTCACATTTTCTTCCCGTTGCGCCGCTTGTTTTAATTTAAAAAGGGATCCTGCACATCTACGGGAAAATATCTTCAAACAATATGCGTAGATTTTCCCTGCGATGCACACGAGCTGATTAAAAAGGTCTGAAACATGCTTGCCTACTATATAGATAAATATGAGTTCGGTAAAAACTGCGGTAGTAAATTTATCAATTGCGATGTTCCGATATTCAAAACATGTAATACACTCGTGTGATTTTCCCCGCGGATGAATAATTGAAATCGGAAGTGAGTCCGACCGGAAATATAGCAGGTTCGTGTTGGCTACATCGCTACATGGGCAACTTGTTGCGCGAGATCAAATATTTACTGGCCATGCCCGGTGAACAATAGTTCTCTAACTTCGAACCTGAAATTCATTATTGTCATGAATCCTTTATTTTAAATCTAGGTGGGTTAAAAAAAATTGTCTGTACTTTACAATGAGTAGAATACTTCACTTTCTACATTTCTTTGTTGAATAATCAAGAAGATTTTGTTTGTTTTTACGTTTTATAGCCTAAAGCGAGACAAGTCGTACTGTATCTCATTTTCTGCTGGTCCATTTGTGGGTAGGTTACGCCCATATTACGCTTCATAATCCAAGGAAACTAGGCCGACCAAGGACGGTCGTGCATTAGGCCTAATTGAGCCAAAGAGTTCCATAATTGTACCAAGCCCTCAACTCAAAGGGTCCTGAAAATGTTCCTTAGTTGCGCCAAGCCCAAGCCAGATAGGGGTGAGTTCAGGCAGAATAAATGTTCTTGTTTACATGTCATCCTAACCTAAACTAATCTAACCTAACTTAACCTAAACCCAACCTAACCTAACCTAATCAATTATATAACGTCCACAATGCACGCTGGTATAAGCAGGAAGTCAGACTCAGATTTTCGGCGCCGAGTGCCTGACTCCGGTGGGGTGGCCATAATGCAAGCAGGTTGTAAGCTGTACCTGTCTGTGTTGAGACCTATTTAAGGGATACATACATATATTCCCGCAACTTCTTGCAGACGACAACAGGGTTTTTCAATATTTCAGAATGAGCTTGCACACCTTTTATTTAATCCTCATAAAAATCGAACACAAGCTCGCCAAAACTGGGGAAAATATGACAAAACATTGAATTTAGCTGAGGTAAATCAATTTATTTAAGTAAGTTAAATGGTTTATTTTGTAAAAATGCAATATTAAAAACAATTTAATTAAACCAACAGATAAATTTAACGTACAATGTTGCCATATTAAAAAAAAATCACTTTAATGTGCTTATATTGCTATTTGCTGGAATGTGTTGAACTTTTGATAGCAATTGGTCGATATCCATGGTTAATGTAATGAAACAAAAACAAAAATCAACAGTCCGATAAAGCAGGTTGTCTGAAACCAGAATGAACAATAAAATCGGAGTCAGACTGCCTGCGCGCAGAAAATCGGCGCGCAGGTGCACTATGGCCGCTTACGTTTACTAGCATGGGACGATAAGCGCGCCGAGTCTGACCTGATCGGCGCCGACAGTCGACAGTCCGACTCAGAAAACCAGCGTGCATTGTGGACGTACCCAAAGAGGGCCGCCACTCGGTGCAGTTAATGAACGTATTGGGTGGCTCCCTAGAGTAGTTGGCGTAATTCAAGAATGTGACTACCTGACTGAGGTCAGTTGGCGCAATTAATGCCCGTTCTCAAGAACAAACTTTTCAGTGCTCAGTAAATTTTTAGCATCTGTTTCTCAATTTAAACATGGTCTTCATAAGTAAATAGAATGGAGAACTGTACAAGCCAATCTTGTACGATTTTGGTCGTTTTAAGTTTTACTACAAACAATAAAATAATAATCAGCTCTCGGGAG